CTGCCTGTCTGCCTGGCTACCTACCTAGCTTTCGCATTGTGTTTTCCACTGGTCGGCGCTCGTGTGGCCAATCTGGCTTTGCTTCGCGTGACACGGGCAGCAGGCTGTACTAGGTGCAAATGCAGTTCCTACAGATAAGAGCCGAGGCAATATATGCTTCATAAGCGGCACGAGGGGCTTCCGCCACCACCAGATTGACGGGGGCGGAGAAAGCGCTCAAGATGAGGTTCAACTGCAAGCCTGGAAGGGCTGGACCAGTGCACGTGGGCTTGTCCGATCGAGACGCTGACTTGACGAGGCCTTTTGCGTCTAGACTTTCTCATGGAACGATGCATTTCTACTCGACACGGAGAGGGCACAGGCTTAGGTATTTGAAGACGGTACCAAGACGCGGCGGATGATCCGGCAATGCCGCTTCGTCTGACCACGGAAAAAGAAACAAGGCCCGAGAGGGTCACAACACAGTTGATTTCGCATGTGTTTGGGGGAGAGAGGGCGGGCGTGCTGGTCTCGGTGGCCTCTACACTTTATCGGCTTCGGCCCTTCTCACTGTCTCACGAATTTGTCAGGTGCTTTACACTTGCCACATATCGGGTTACGGCGCGGGTCACATTCTGGCATGTGTCCGGGTTCGCAGAGTTCGCAGAGCAGAAGTGCAGTCCCCCCAAAGAGAAAAAAGAGGCAAAGAAGCAAAGAAGCAAAGAAGCAAAGAAAAGAGAAAAGCACCTCCTCGTCGTCACAAGGCTGGGGGGGGGGGGGCAGGCTGAGATGGCACACACGGCGAGCACCACAGACCCGAGGCGAATGATTCACTCCCCAGCGGCACTTTCTTCTCGACTTTCTTCTCGACGGCGGCGGCGCGCGTTTTGTTGGGCGGTATACAGAACGCGCGCGGCATGGGGTATCATGTACACATGGTCGGCAGTCGGTCGATGATGCTCTCGTTCGAGCAGGCTGTCTTGTCTGGTGGTGTGTCTGTCGGAGGGTAGATTCTGGCCTTTCGAATGACTAGGATTGGGACCTACCCTTGACGCTGCTGCAGGAATGGGAGAACGTCGTCCGGGTTGGTGACCGATGGCGCAAAGTGCGGGTTGGGACGCGCTTTTAAAAAGACAAGCAGAGAAGGCCGGGAACGATCAGGGAGGGGAGGCCCAGAGACATGGAGCTACTGGGATGGGTGACTGGCGCCCCATTTGCGAACCACCCACTGAGCCGCAAGGCAACCACTCCACCCACTCGATCGAAGGTGGTGCGCGGGATACAATGCAAAGGCAGCAGAGGCTTTCCCTGCCCGGCAACCTCACCCAGGCCACTGGTATATAATTGGGACATTCTTGATGGACAACGTGGATTGAACATACAGTGTTGTTCATCGTATTATTCGCCACTACGCCGAAGCAGCATGACCAGAGCCCAACCCTGAGCCTCCAGATTTGCCAGTTATCACGTGATTAAACCATCAGAGGTGCCTGCGCCCACGCGCGTCGCCTTGCAACGACCGTTGCCTGGATCTCGTCAATTGATTCTGTTCCAGGTTCCAAGACGCACCTCGGCGTACGCATGCTTTGACGAGACCGACTTCACAGGCTTGAGACCGAAACGTACATATGCTGCTACTGCCCTGCACCGATTGTCGAGTTTCTCTACTTCGCAGCTTCATCCTGTGGTCACGTCTCAATGGAGATTGAAGCGAGGTTCAGAAATTACCAACGCAGAACGGCACGACAGCCCCCCTCATCTCGAGTCGCTTGCCATCTGTGCAACGAGGAGGTGGATAAAACATGGGATGCATATCGAGCCCACTTTTTCCAGAGGCATACCGACCTCATGGTGCCAGAGGGTGGTGATGTGGCCGACGTTGACCGCACCAAGCTGGCGAGAAAGCATCATCAACAAACGCTCGAGAAGAACAACGCAGCCTCCACTCCCACTGAGGGGCCAAGTACCGGCCGCCGCGGGTACGTTCATGTCTTGCTGCCCCCTCCCCTCGATTGCTCCCCTCGTTTGAGCGAACCGTCTGACTCCGACTAAAACGAGCGAACAGCAACGCTGCGACGTCGAAAGCACAGAACCCATCGACTTCGCGCGCAGGTGCCCGATCATCAGCGACAAGCCGGCCCGAAGACGGCGGTCGTCCCTCGGGTCGCAGGGCCGCCGCCGCCGCCGCCGCCCCGGTGTCCAAGGTGACCCCAGGCTCCCCATCAGCCTCCGTCCGGCCCGGGCAAGCGCCGACGCCAGCACCACAGGCCAGCCTGGACCGGACCCCAGTCTCTCCCACGCAGAGCCTCAAAAGGTACAGCTCGGGTGAGCACAGTCCGCCTAGGCGCTCCAAGGCCCGTCCCTCTCACTCGGCCTCGGCCTCGGCCCCGGCCGCCCCTGATGACGTATCGAGACCCAAGTCGACCAGGACTCTGTGGAACCCCGACACCAGTCAGCCCAACCCGAGCCCCAGGGCAGGTGCAGGGGGGGGCAGAGGAGGGCGAGGGACACACGCCCAGGGTCCAAGGCAAGGCACATCAGTCCATGCATCGACACAAGGCGGCTCGCCCGGCTTCCTCCTCTGGCAATCCACCTCCCCAGCAACCACAGGACGATGCTCGCGGCACCCCCGCCAGCAAGAAGAAAGACGACGCGATCACCATCATCAAGCAGCCCGAGACACGGCCCATCAGCCAGGAGCAGCTTGTCGCCGAAGTCAAGGGCATCTACGCCGGCCTCGTCATGGTGGAGAGCAAGTGTATCGAAGTCGACAACTTGCAGAACACAAAAGAAGGCACCATCCCCCTCAATGACGAACAATGGCAGGCACTCATCGCCCTGCATCGAACCTTGCTCCACGAACACCACGACTTCTTTCTGGCCAGCCAGCACCCTTCGGCAAACAACGCCCTGCGGGCCTTGGCCGAACGCTACGCCATGCCCGCCAGGATGTGGCGGCACGGCATCCACTCCTTTCTCGAGCTGCTGCGACACCGTCTACCAGACTCGCTCGAACACATGCTGTCGTTCATCTATCTGGCGTACAGCATGATGGCTCTCCTGTACGAAACTGTCCCCAAGTTTGAAGACACGTGGATCGAGTGTCTCGGGGACCTGGGACGGTACCGCATGGCCATCGAGGACGACAGCATGGCCGACAGGGAGGTCTGGACTGCCGTCAGCCGTCACTGGTACAGCAAGGCATCCGACAAGTCGCCGACGACCGGCCGGCTGTACCATCATCTTGCCATTCTTTCTCGGCCCAACGTTCTGCGCCAGCTGTTTTACTACTCCAAGTCCTTGGTCGTTCCGACCCCCTTTGTGAGCGCTCGCGAGTCCATCTTGACACTCTTTGACCCTGTTCTGTCCGAACAGTCTGGCCAGTCCGGCAAGCCTGGCCGCCTGCATGAGCTTGATATGCATTTCGTCTGCCTCCACGCTGTCCTTTTCAAAGGCACAGAGCAGGAGAGGTTCCAGCCCGCCTTCGACAGCTTCATCGGCGGTCTCGATATCCAGATCGCGAGGTATTCCCGCCGCTGGCTGGAGCCAGGTTACTACATCGGCATCTCGAACACATGCGCTCTGCTCAACTACGGCGACCCCTCCAGCACGCTTCTGCGCGCCATGGAGGGCGATCCGTCGGCGGACTACCCGATGGAGGCGCCTGAGGATGAGGATCGCTTTGAGAAGGCTCTCCAGCTGAACTACCGAACCCATCGAGTGGTGTGGCGCCGGTTCGGTGACCCTAGCATCCTTGCCTACCTTCACACAACCCTCGTTCCGATCTATCATCTCATACGTTCGCGGAACACCATTGGCAGGCTGGAGGCCAGCATTCCGTGGAAGCTCCTGTCAGTTCAGCTCAATACTATTATTGCAGCGTCTGGCAACACCATACGTTTTGAGGACCATGAATTCCCAGGGCCGATCAAGGGCGAGCCGCCTCGTCCTCTACCTGAAGACTTCGCCATGCGTGGTATGATTTGGACCAATACATACTTCCCAACGAAATGGTTCTCCAACGATAAAATCGACGATGACGAAAAGTACTTTGAGGTTGCGTCCATGACAGAGGAGAGACGCATCCGGATATTGTGGATTGGCTGCCAGATTGCGCGGCGCGAGCGATGGCTGCACTATGATTTCGAGACGCATCAATTTGCGGTATCGCCCGAGTATGACGAGAACATCGATGAGCTTCCTGCCGCTGCTGAACAGGTCGCCCCGGCGGAGGACGACGAGGCCATGACGGAGGAGCAGACAGCCACCGACGAGCAAGACGTGACGGGGAAGGCCTCGGATCTGATGGACGTTGACGAACCGACTGTGTCACAGCCGTGATTTGACATTGGTGCATCCTTGGACCTGTGCACCTGGCGTCGAACCAGCTCGACGTGCGAGGCGCGACGAGGACGTTCAAGGTAAGATCTTTCACGCCATCGCCCTGGCACTTCTGATGCGGGATCCTCGGTTCTACCGGCACAGAGTTCCTCTGTTTCCCATCAGCCTCACACGACGCTCCCAATGGCCTGGGAGATGCAGTGCGAGCCAAGGTTACTGGGCCTTGAGGATGATCTTGGGATCACTCCCATCTCCAAAACTAGGACTTGAGGTTGATGCTCTCAATTCCTTGCCCAGCCCTCCTGGACATGTTGGAATCTCGATACTGGCAAGCATTCGATACCAATAGTCGTATCAACGACTCGGACGTAGCTTATGCCTCGAGAATCACGCGCGGGAGACAAATTATATACGTTAAAGAGGACGTGTACCTGTCGCCTTTGGTGCGGACTCACCTATCATATCTCGAAGACCTCTTTCGAATCATACTTCATCAGCACACACTCCACAAGTCGAGACTGCTTGTCGTTTGCTAACCAGTTTTGAATACCTGCGGTTTCCTCACAAGACATCATCGGACTCAAATCATGCGTACATGGCCTCGAGCCTGAACTAAGTTTCCTCTCGTCATACCGGCCAAATGAGATCCATCATCCAACCAGCGAGTCTTTGAGCGTCACATGGTTGATCTCGTTGGGACACACCTGGATCTTGCGCACCCTGATGTGCTGTATCATTGGGGTCATGAATGCCGATGGCAACGGCCGCCCCCGGTGTTGCTGCTCGTAAAAGTCTTTTATTTTATCCTTCATTATTTAATATGTGTGGCTCATCATTGGTCACTACGGTCTATTTTCAGTTTATCAGGAGACATCTCATTTTAGGGTAGAGGAGCCTCTTTTTTTAGGGATTGTTCTTTCAGGAACAACAGCCACTCGTCGTTGAGTTGACTTCTTTAGGGGGAACTGATTCATCCTCGTCTAGAATAAGCGACGTTGGTCTCTGATAGTAGAATCAGAGCGCGAGTGGGATTCACAGGCCCATTCGCGAAGACCAACTATCCATGCATTGGACCTATTGCAGCGTTGTTTTCGGCGGTTATTTATATGGGTTTACACGTTACTCGCTCAAGGGAAATTGCGAATAGCTGGAGCCACAGATCAATCAAGTCAAAAAATCACTTAAACCACTGGACCTAGTAAACAGAGCTTGGAGGCACAACCAAAGCTACGGAGAAGTGTCATGTAAGCCGCGGAACCCATTCAACACCAACTACGAAATGCGTATTTCCAAACAGCCGACAGCCAGACAATGTGCAAATGACTGTGTCAAGCAACGCATGGTAACTCAACAGCGTGCTTGCCGGCAAAGCATTGGCCCATGGGCATACCTAGGCAAAGTAGGCTAGACTCACCGAAAATAGGCGATGGAATTTCATTTCCTTGATGGTTGCACGAAATATGACATAAAGTTGGGGGCGGTCGCCTGAGAATCTGATTAGCGCCAGCACAACACCGAACTTTCAATTCCAATTCTTTCTTCTCGTCACAGGCTTACAGCCTTATAGCCTTCGGAGACATGCCGCCTTTTCGTCTTCCCCTCTTGACGCCGAGAGCGAGGTCCGCTGTATCGATTGGTTCAGGGGGCCAACGAGAGGCCAGAGCCGACACATAGAGCAAACAGGTGTGTGATCCATGTCGAATCGGACGCCACGGCGCGTGTCCTTGGAAAAGTCCCTGTTTGCACTTTCCCACGGATGAGACCATCGAATGACTGCCGCTCCAATGGCATTTCGATGTCCAGCATGATTTCTTTTCCGAATCTCGGTCACCGAGACATTACACCGACGCAATAACGCATCAGGCTAGAAAGCCAAAGTCCTATCATCGGTCACGCCCGCACTCCCATCAAAAATAGCTGCAAAATTCGACACACCCAAGCATGGATCCAGCACGTCTTACGCAGGCAACCAATGCAAGCTACATGAATAAGGCGGCCTGTTTGGAGAAGCGAGAATATTTGTGTAGTTGCGCATTTGCGCACACCGGCTCACTTCCGCAAGGCTGGCGCAGCCTGACCCGTTGGAGTGGGGTGGGGGATGCCTGAAGACCGCGACAGCCAACGGAACAAAGGTGACCGCTTGCTTGGCCCAAGATCGGCTGTAAATTGCTTGTTTCGCAAAAAGCAACGTATTGAGGACCTGCCTGTCTACATTTATGTGGACCGTCCGCAGTACTCCTTGTATACGCAGTGCTCCCGGCAATGCCTTCCTTGACGCGCCTGTGCTAAAGTCGGTGTATGAAGCAGAGTGAAGAGGTCTTTCAGACGAGGTCGGCAGGCAATAGACCACAGATAAGGGGTTGTACTACATTTAAATTCTGGCCCTCTGCAGGCAGCTCTCATACACGCATTCTCGCAGTCCTAGCCCGCTGTTCCATGGCTCCACAGGGGTCTCCTCACACCTGACGCCGTTTGGGGAAGGTTTGAAGCACCGGAGGGATAAAACTCATGGATATAGGAGGCAAGTTTGTTTTAAGTATCGATAACGTCGCCCAAGTCTTGGTCTCATTTAACTGCCATTGTGAAAATACATATGCTGCTTGGCTGGCAAGGCTGCAATCCATCTGAGCTGTTCCTGTCTTCAACGCAGTGGCTCCGGCTAGATTAGAGCATTTTCATTTCATGATGCCGTACACATGATCTGACACTGGCTGGAAAGAAGAGTTAAAAGGGGGATTCATGGAGGCTCTTCTGAAAGCCAGCCTCCGTGTCAAGTCTAACACTGCCAGGTGAGTCACGGTGCATGAGGCTAGCCAGGAGATAAGGGCCACGAGAACGGATACATAAACACTGAGGAGTGCCCTCAGAGCTACGGAGGGCCAGACTTCGGATGCATTCCGACCCCATACCTATATTCTATTGCCGCGGACTACGTGTGGACGACCTCCTCACCTGCTCCGTATCAAGCACTGACAGACGCCCGTGAGACGACCTAACGCAACCTGCTGGAGCAGAATATGGGAGAGAATCTTAATTTATGAGAGAATAGATGCCACTGTCTGACTCTTGAAGAGCTGGGCGACACATTTCACTCAGCCGTGAGCTTGCTGTTGCAAAGCTTTGCGATTGAGGGGAAAGGGTACGATACATATTGAATCAATGCATAGATCAAATCGATTTGCATTCATAGAGACATAATCTTAAAGTATGCAATCCAGAAGGTACATAATTCTTGCTCCCAAAGCGACCTCCTGAAATCTATTTTCCCCCAATAAGAAGAATCCGCAAAAAGTGTGCTGAGCAAGCGCACGCATCAAATACACAACTGAGAAGCGACGCAGTGATCATTGACCGCTCAAGAACATAAACGAGTTACACGAAGTCACGTTGGGATGACAAGAAACTAAAGTAGCACAAGCCCGTGACAGAAGCAGAGTCGGTAGATATGTTAGGAAGACAAATTATGCTAGAGGTCAGCTTGCAGCCCTCAAATTCGAGGTTCAATCAATGTATCCTGTTGTCCGTTTCACACTCTCAGAGATTAGAGACAGTCAATGCATACACTGGCAACAAGTCATTGAGCCATATATGCTGTCTGGCTCAAGGCCATAATCGCCCTCACCAAACGCAATTCATCACCTGTGGGGACTGCCTTGGCCCTGCGAAGCTGGCTTGTCATTTGCTCTTGAAGAAGAGTTCTTTCGTCAAATACAGGGACGACGACGTCAGGGATCTCTGAATCCTGTGTTCTCCAGAGCGTCGTGTCCGTTTCCCCAGTTGTCGAAGACCCGACTGACCACGATGGTACGTCGGATCTTCTAGAGTCAGAGGTCGTACATTCATGGGGGAACATAGAGCCAAGAGGTTGGCATTGCTGCGTGAAACTGTTCTGTTGGACGAGTTGGTGTATGGATGCCCTTCCTGACGGACCCACGACTGAAGTTGCTGACATTATCGCTGTGGGTGTGATCTCCTTGATCAAGTTGTGACTCTGCAGCCGTTGTGATCTCAATGTGGGCGAAGACAGGGAGCTCCAATGATCGTTTGAATCTTGGGTGAATAGCCAGGATGATGGCATTTGGGTCAGAGGCTCAATAGGACGTGCCGGCGCTTGTGAGAGGACGATGGGGAGTGACAAGTGCTTTTGGGACTTGTCCTCAATGTCGGCCTTGAGGTCCACAAAAGGGGTAAAGTACGTCAATCTTTGGTTGTTGATGGGACCATAACTTGTGCTCCGGGCCCATACATGGCCGATAACGCGATCGCCATCACGGGTCATGAGCCATGCCCCCGAGTCTCCTGGGACACCAACACCTCCGGTGATCCATTCCTCTGTTGACTTTATCTGATCTGCGAGGTCTGAGGACACAGTTTCAAGGCCACCCTTCGGAAGCTGGTGTGAAGCTTCGGTGCTGAGGGTGTGTTGTCTGACTGTCCACTCGCGGTGGTACCCGCCGTTGAAGTACTGGAGTCCAGGAACGTCGGAAGTGTATGCTAAGGAGTAGCCACTAGTGCGGCCAACTCCGTAGACCTCTGTTGTGCCAGAAACCTCGGCAAACTCTGTGACAACGTGTCCCTCGCTCGCTTGAGCGAAACTCGGAGTCGGAATTATATTTCCTCCCGGCCCCTGAATGTCGATCACAGCCCAGTCCATCTCGATGGATATCAATTCTTTGTGCTGAGAGATCCCAGAGAATACAAGAGACGGCCTCAGAGATCCGGAATCGCTCCAGTGCGATACGTGCCCGATGGTTGTCAGAGTGTTGCGTTTACTGAAAGGCTCTTGGTAGAGAAGCTGGTCCAGAGGCGACGGATGCTGGACGCACAAAGGGCGCGACGATGAGCCCAGAGATTCATCATGCTGGTGACGAGTGGTCGTTGCCGATTTCCGTCCCCCAAGGTTCACGAATCCCCCTAGCGATGCGCTGTTGAGGTCGCCTGTCTGGCCAATTGAAGCGCCTGGCCCAGGACAGGACATGTACTGAGCTCGCCGTGGCTGACATGGCTTGTCTCGATCATCCGGACCCGTGCCCACGTGGTTAGCGCATAATTCGATCGTTCCTTGGCAGAACTCCAGCTTGACTGAACGGAATTGCAGAGGTAGAGAATCTACAACCATCCTGGTGATGATCTCCTTCGCGGGAGATGAGGCGCGAGTAGATGAGGTGACGGTGAGGAGTCGTGGGGGGTTAATCGAAGCCAGTTGAGGATAAGTATGTACATCAACCGAGAATGGCCCGACCAGAAGTGTTGGAAGGCTCGAAGCAAGCATTGGGACGATCTCGTTCTCCCAATGCGAAGCAAAATCCTTCGCATCATTGACTCGGATACTGTATGAAGACCTGACGAGACGCGCAGGATCATGTGCCGTCAGCGAGTCTACAGGGCGTACGTTCCTCGGAACTTGACGGTGACCGCGCGTTTGTTCTCCAAATCGGGCTTGGCTGTCCAACTTGACCGCTGAAGGTACTTCGAGGACCCCAGAACCGAACAAGTCTGACGCCATGATGAGGTGAATTCCGAACACGTGCGATGTTGCCTATCACGTCATGGTCAGCATTTCAAACCTTCTACAGAGCGCCTCGCACTCGTTGTAGACGAAGGATAGCTTCAGCTCACTTGCACTATGGTTGTTTCTGTAGTTGGGACAACCCTGCGGGCATGGAAAGACTAGCTCCAAAGCTTGGGCTGGGTTAACATGAACGAGGGAAAAGATCATCGTTGAACAGCTCTCTCAGAAGCGAAGCTCGTCTATATAGCGGCGGCTGTGCGCAAGTGACGAAGTGAGGCTGTCCATCGTGCCTTCTGGTCCAGTCCAGGTATAAGTCCCTGATCATAGGCCCGTGTAGCTAGTGGTTGGCTCTTCGGGATGATGCATTCATGCATGAAGTGGCCAATATTGACGATTGGATGTCTGGCGCTGGCATTGACGGGCTTCATAGCCAGGCCATGCAACGACTGGCCGCCCTATCTTTATATCTGGAGCTCTGTCGACTGTAGTGGCCGGGGTTGGCCTGTAAAGGAAGTTTGGTGGCGGGAACAAAACAGCCATTCGCGATTGCACTAGTTATACGTGGACCCGTTCGCAGGGCCTTCCAGTGATCGATATGGGATGCAGGTCAGCTATCTTGGTTACTCGCTCAAGCATTGGTCAGTTACCTCTCATCTTTTAGGCCTGGAAGGGCTAAGCTAAATGCAATCACGTCACCGCTTGATACGACAAGCTTCCACTGACTGACTACTGGAACCACCTGGCCCTCGGTAAATGTTCGTTGCCGTCGTCTCGCCCGCGATGGTGCCATAGGTAGAAACCCGAACAAGCCCAAGGCACCCCCCCTGCATGCCCAGGCTCTTAGCTTCCACCTCCGCGAGGAAGCATGGTGCGTGGCTGAACCTATATTCATGCTATTGCCGGGCAGCGGACGGTATCACTTATCTGAAAGCAATGACTGACCCTCTTTCATGGGAGAGGAAAGCAACGCTGTGCGGTCATGGCCACCGAGGCTGTCACTACCAGGCTTGGATAGTCCCGAGGCTTGCACACACATTCGAGCATGCGTGATACAGTGTCACACATCACCGACTTGTCTGTTTGAATGGAGGCAAGGCGACATGTTGAGGTTGCTGGCCGACGTTCCCAACCTACGGCCATCATACCACTCGCGCTGAATGAATGCCTTGACGTAGATATGCACTTTTGAGATAAGACAACGACTCGATGATATATGAGTTCATACTAATACAGGGGCCGAAACCGGCGTCACTGTTCACATGCGTTGTTACGCACGGATAGTACACTTTGAAAGTGAGGCAAACAACTCGTTGGATGGCGGTATGAAGCTTGATTTCGAATGGCAAATAACACGTTGGCCGTGATTCTTGGTCGAATATTGCAGTGAACTTTCATGTGGAGGCTGGGAGAAGTTGTCTCATGCCATTGGATTTGTTTGTAGACAGGAAGAGCGGTTTGCCTACAGCCTCATCGATACGCGTGGCCATCATCGCAAGATCGTGAGAAAGCTTCATTTTCGTGACGGCAATCCCCAGGCATACCATCTCATTTTTTCGCACTTGTCACCACAGGTCCATTGGAAGCGAGAGGGGTGGGAGGGGGGCTAGCACGGCATGGTCAGCACTAGATTCTCGGTCTTTAGGCCTCGATGGCGTGTGCAAAGGCCCCTAAGCACAATCACAAGGTCCCAAACGCTGCCCAGTGCCACCACCATCGCGTAAAGCTCTGGTAACGACCGTTCGGGCGGCGTGTTATGGCCTGGTATCGACCCGCCTCTCACTTTGCCCACAATGCCAAATGGCAGCCATCATTCGCTTTTCAACGCTCGTGATTTTGCCGAGGATACATCGCATCATGGAGAGCGACCGCGAGCATCATAGATCGAGCCAATGGAGATGCTTTCGCTTTTGCAACGTCTCGCGCTATTCATTGACAATCACCAGAAAGGAAATGCTGCCTAACTGCTACCTGTAGGGTCGGTAGGTGAGGTGGGTAGCACAGGGTTCTTCCAGCATACCGGCCGCCGGCCCGGTTGGCATGAAGTTATGGTCTCTTCGCCATTCAGTGTGCTGCACCCACCAACCATTTGTTGTATTGAATGTATATTGGTTTCATAGAGTTCCCTCTGAAATTGATTGCCTTAAATTTGTTGCAGGCATATTCACTCATTCGGCAGGCTCGCTTTGTGATCCCAATGTATTCCGTGGGCGCTTCACACCCACTCGGGGGATGACGGGTGGTCGGCTCGGGCGCTGTAGGTGTTTGGGCTCAGAGGGAGCTGAAGACCTTCTTCCCAACCACTTTCTACATGACGACGGGATTTTTCCAAGAGGCCCAACACGGTTTGATAGATATAATCATCAAGCCTTCGAGGAATGAGGTCAAACATGACGACCAGGAGAAGTGAGTGACAGCACTATTATGCAGTGTTCGATTCGTTTCCGGCTCATTCTGTCGTTCTCCTCTACAGCAGCGCATGGAGCGTAATGAAACACCAGCCTCCAAATGAAAATGGATGACATATCGACAAGTGTAAAAAGACTCCTAATACCGCCTGAATCGACCTCCTCGTTGTCAAACACTTCCCCAAACCAGGACAGCACCTCGATCGCAGCCGCAGCAGGGTCCGTGTCGACTACGTTGGCAACGCGTGGTTCGAGCACAGCAGTAGACCATGTCGCTCAGGCTGCCTTTCTATCCAAAGCTCTAGAAATGGCAGGTCTTCCAACAAGATGGAGTTCTGCGGCCATAAACAGGAAGCCCCAATTCTGTGCAAACTTGACACCTTCAGACCATTCAATCTTCGACCACTTTGTGAGCCACGCTGGTGGTCATCTGTCGACAGAAGTTCCTTGGCAAGAACTCGATATAGTAGGACCGGTTCACCTACCAAGGGGGGTTATGGCAGCCACTCAGGCCATTCTAAGACTGAAGAAAGTTTTGGGGTGACGAGGGAAACAATTACTTGGTGGAAGAGAAGTGAACGCAATAGAAATTTATTCAAGGTCAGGCCGCCCCTCTTCACTTGTAGAGAGTTGTATTCTAACCCATGAACCCTCAGAAACGCATTGTAACTAGGGAATAGTTAGTCTTAGGCATCAAGAGGAGATCCAGACGGGTGAATATGGTAGAGACTGTAACAGCGGAGGGCGCTCGCTAACCCACAAGATTCTGAATTCGACAAGTGTTGGTTTCCAAGTTCATAGTGAACCACAGACTTTGCGGAAGACTCGTGGTATGAGAAACACTGCCCCGCAGGAATCTTATGAATCATCAGTCGTCCCCAATTCGCAAGATAGGTCGTCGGATAGGTCAAGGGCGCCCCGCATCCGATATTGCGAAGTGTCTACCTGTGATACGAAGCGGTGTAACGGATACCTCCTTACGTCTAGTCCAAGATGGCGCAGAGCAGACTCTCTCCCAATGATTATCCATAATATGCCGCATATTCATCCGGTATCCTTGCTAACGGACCCCTGATCCATGCGACATACCTCTTTTTCGCGCCATGGTGACTCAATGTCGGTTTTAGGCTCTGTTTCGCTTGGGCAGCAAGGCCCAACCAATGTGGGCAGGGCGAAGGACCAGGAGCACCAGCCAACCAAGGTCCATACTCAGCCCACCGTATTTGCAAGAACACTCAGCTTGTTGAGCGCGTTGATTGGCGATAGCTTCATTGTTGACCCCCTAAGATCCTTCTACGTAACCTGCGCTCTTGCTACTCTTGGTGTGTCCGGATGGTGTGATACATCACAGCCAACGGAATCGTAATAAAATCCGCTTTATCAACGTAGGATGTGTTTGATGCGGGCTGTCTCTGGTCGATGTCGTACATCTCACCACCGTTCTGATGTAGCACTTGCGGTCGGTCGCTGATGGCGCCTGACTGGGAAGCACGGTCCCAGCGCATAAGTTTACCCAAGACTTCGGACATCGAATCAAGGAACAACACGTTATCATCTCGAACAACATCTGTTCGACATCGGTCTAATGTCTCACCAGGCCCATGTAAGACTTGAGCGTTGGACTGTAATTGCCGGCCCTTGGTTCACATGCTCCCTTCCACACGTGAGAAATGGTCTGATTACCTGTCAGTGCGGACACCGTCTTTGCCCCAATTATATCAGCCGGAAGCCTCGCCTGTCGACTTCATCACTCTGGCGAGGCTGATATTTCGGGTGGAGATTTGAGGCATAGCCCTATGCTTTGTTTCGTACCTCTGACCTTTCGCCCTTCTTGGACGAGGTTCGTATTGATTATGTGATATGATTCATTGGAGAAATGCAGTATCTCACTACAAAAACACACCAAGTCTCGTCTATCTCTATTTTGAAAACTCATACAAGAGGAGGAAGGGCCCGACGGTAGCGCTCAAGCCACACAGCACAGCCTATCAGCCACCCCCTTTTTTCAACGAACAGAAGCCCAAGTGGCCGGCTGCACCATAGGGGCAGAACAGTACCAATCAGTATTTAGTCCTTGAGTCTTGTTTGATGATATGTGCTCCATTCCAGGGCACGAGTGACAACGCTGCCAGCAGGTTGACCAAGCTACTCACACTAGATGCGCTAACCGGCAACGGGCCGAACCGACGTATTCTAGTCACTAGTCACGGCTGAATTTGACTCGCGTCTTTTACTTTGAGACTCAAGAATACAGATCGAGCCCTATTGAGATGAAATCATAAGACGATGCCGCTGAAGATGAGGTCCCAAATTCTGGCCGCAACTCAACCTCCGCTCAACTCATCGCGTTGTTCCCTTCATCGTATTAGGCACAAATTATACCGTAACATAGACATAAATCTAAAATCATTGGAGTCGATCAGTTCTGCACTGTCTCTGCAGATCTAGCACGCAAGTTGAGTAACCATACATTTACGTTTGAGGTGCGCCACTCAACGTCACGTGCAAGCAACCTACCTACTCCTACTAGGGTAGCAAGATACCTTAATACATCGGTAGTCTGTCTCTTCACTTGATGTTGAACTGGTTGCCTTGCCATCGGCTGCTGAGACGAAATACTAGAAGCTATCTATGGCGTGTTCGTACAGGCTGATCTTCTTGTCATGGAGAAGAGCCAGATGGAATATCAACCCCGCTCCGCCCCATACCACCAAATGCCTCATGTTCTGAAGCGTTCCCTTTTTTTTTCTCGCTGTTGTTGAATTCCGTAATAATATTGAAATACATGGCAAGGTGAATTATGCCTTTTAACTTGCTTCACAGTTGATTATGGAAGAGACTTCTTGAGCAAGTCAAGGTAAGAGAAAACAGATATGTCGCCCTTCATCACCATGCCTGCGGATGCCAGTTTAGTTCTCGCCTATTATTTGTCGGCCGTGCAAAATTCTTGTTGAGAGAGTGTTTCTTAGGGCCCAAGAGTCATGAATTTTCAAAACACCAGCCCTCGCGTCAGTTATGCTACCCGTCAGGATGGCAAGTTTGATCCCCGCAGATTAGCTTCACGTCTCTGACGCCATGCTTGACGCCATGTTCAACAGCACAGCAAGAGGATAAAGAGGCTACCAGTAGCGCAGTCTTCGGTACACATCCATCTATGCACGTGGGAATGTTAGAACCAAGCATTCTTGAATGCCTCGTAAAACAAGTTAGGCGACTTTGAAGGCGAACCCATGCTGTCATGGCTTCCTAGCGTGGTTGCCTTAATATGCTTGTATCAGTACCTTTGCTTGAGTATGATGGGTGTCCGAAGCGCCGACGTTCTATTACGTGCCAATACTGAGGCCACGGTAGGTGCTTGCAAAACGGTTTCTCTAATGGCTGAGTGGCTCAGAACGCTGTATCATCTGCGGCGAAAGTAGAGTCATCAACCGCCTCATGTGCACTCTGAGCCTTGACGGCCAAAGATTGGTGGGCACGAAAGACTATAGCCACAGAACTGCCACACGCCTTTCACGCCAGTCTTCATACTTTCTCTTCCAGGAGGGTGATCAAGAGGGCCAGTATTCTTTTAGTCGTATAGAATAACTGCCTTCTTTCCAGCACTAATTGCGCAGCGCAAGAGTGTAATCCAAATCAGTCAGCCACGATGGCTCGTCAGAAGAACAACAAGCGTGTACAGGCAAAGGACCAAGTGGCTTCTTCTGAAACTTGGCCAGCGGATGCTCAACATGGGTCAACAAGGTGCGCTATGCAGCCTGAATCTTGCTCAAATCATTCATGGAGTGAAAAGGCCAACTTGGTCACGTCTTGCGTACAGGGAATCGACACAATCGTTGCCAACAATCACCACCGTCCCCCCACACCATCGAGGCAGCCGACAAAGAGTGGCAGACACAACCCACCTCGACGCCTACCTCGAATACATGCAGATATCACATCCAACTGAGCAATTGATGACGGCTACTACTTACAAAGCCATCGAAAATCGCAATTTACGACACGATGATATTCGACAGCTGATACGAGCAGTGGAAAACCAACTAGCCGGTGCCGCAACCGATAAAAATGCGCCATGGCCGCCGTCTCAAGTTACAATCCCCCCCACGTATGCAGCAGCCGAATCAACCTCCGCCTTAGTCACTCACGCCGGAGACTGGGCTGGCATTGTTGACCCCTCTGTCTACGGCACTACCGAAGTATGTCTGGATAAAGATAATCTGTGCTCTCGACAACCTCAGCATGACTTTACATGAAATTTGTGGTGGGATTCCTGTTCCGGCGCATTGACGATGCGCTTGACACATACTAATGAATAGCCTTCTAGTTTCTTTTCGGACGGGCGGGGAGACATGCCCCTCATAACCATCCATCCACCCTCCACCAGGTACACACCACCTGCGGACTTTGCAGCCACAACATCAACCATCGGCCCATCAGCCATCGGCCCATCAGGCGTTGGCCCTACCATGCCAGTGTAAAGTCCAATACAGACCCCCCAAAGAAGCCACCAGTGGCAGTCAGGCCGCTGGACATGGATGGCGTTGCCTTATCGACCATTGCCTATTCGTCTGCTAAGCACTCATACATCAGTGGGATAGGGGGTGGGGATTGTGAACCCTCACATTCGTCTACAGCCGTTTTGAGCGAAGCTGAAGGGTCGTGATGTAGGAGCTCTGTCGTCGCGCAGCTCTCTCTAGCAGTGCAACAAGTGCCCCTCACACAATACAAACTCGAATGACCAGGCTTTCTTAGTACAACAAGATGGAACGCCTGAACAAAAGCCCAAAGGCTGAAGCGCCAAGATACCTCAGGATCTGATGCATCAGCTGCTCAAGAATATGCAGTGCTACTGTGTTGCGAGCGGAGAAGTAGCAGCTGGGGAGGTGGGGTGTTGTTAGGTTGCATTGGCCAAGAGCTAGCCGAAGATGGGTTCTCCGTCCCTATCATGAGGTTTTTCATACTGTCGGTGCAGGTGCATGCTGTTGGTGATCAATGAGACATGCGAATACGTGTGGCCCAGGTATGATGATGGCATAAGCGACTGCATACGACACGGAGGTGATCAGATGAAACAATCTTTTGGGATACTCAACACCAAGTGTAAGTGGCACAAGGGGATGGGATAACCACTCCTCTCCCAAGCGTCAATACATTTATGGCCTTCCAGCTCTTCAACTCAAGAATTTCTCGCTGGAAGCGATATTTTGCCATCGACTCTTCGCACACTTTTGCAATGTCTCCGCAAGTATGCATGTTAAGACACGCGATGGGGAGCATGAGGTGTCTCGGCTCTTTGCAAGTTAGTGCATGCACTACTGCTTGATGTGGAAGTAGATGGAAAATAACATCGCGTCAAGCTCCAAATATAGGCAGAGCCTGCCTTTGATAAGGAAGCGCATCGTTTCTCCAGAAGTACTTTCAGTTGTCTCTTTGGGCTCTGGAGTGATTACTTATTAGATAATGGGCACCCACATCCCAAATTCTCAAAGTTTTGCAAGCCCGTCCTGACCCGCTCTCGCAGCTGTTGTCTTTCTTTCCTTTGTTTAGGCCCCTTGTTTGCAACCTTTTCAGCAGCCTCAACGCGCTGAC